CAGTTATCGTTTTGGCAGTTTGTGCAGGAGCCTCTCTGCTCGACAAAGCCTCGCTGGAAAGATCATGATCTAAACCTCGAGACACTGCGTTCCACTCGATAGGCAGTTTCTGCATCTTGTTTTTTATTTCAGTGCTCCATGTCGAAGTTTAGATTCTGACGTTTCCCAACCGGCTCGACTGCGTACCATAAAATCCCGAATGAATGACCTCCCCCAATAGATCGCCCGTCCTGTTTTTCTGGCCAAATATTTATTGGTTAAAAATTCCTAAACTTTGCCCACCACTGGTTCTCGTCGCAATGCGATGTCCGACAGGAATCGCACAAATCGTGTGATCTACAGTATCAATACGTGTGGCAAGCGAGTTTCTGGTGGCTCTCCACACGTTTATAGTGCCATAAAATTCGAGCTAGCCATATCCTTGATCTGCGCGCAATGTCGGTTCCCGTGACGTGCGGGTTCTCTGCAAGTTTCCGCGTGTTTATCGCACCGTGGAACACAAATCTGCTGCGTGCCCGATCTTGCATTATCAGTTCTTGCTATATGTGAACTCATAGCAAGTTCCCATGCATTTTTTTTTACAATGAGTTTGACACGTGCGCAGTCTGCGTGTGTGATATTGGTTCCCATGATACACGAGTTTGCAGCGAGTTTCCACATGTTCATCGCGTTGTGAAACGCGAATCTGCCGTGTCAGTGATCTGCGGCATCAGTTCCCGTGTCATGTACAGTCGAGCCTGGTTATATCACCCTTGGGAATTTCGAATTCTTGTTTATACCAAACAGTCAAAATATCCCCTTGAAAATCACAGGTAATACTATAGGAGCATTGTCTTTTTGTATCAAACTCCCATGGTGTTCAGTATAGCTAACGAAGCCCGGCCTTGAGCACATCGCTTCTGCAGTGCTGGCAGACCGCCAAGCCAGTGTGCATGCGGTAAGGTACACAGCGAAAGAGCAGTTGTGCAAAAAAAACAAAAAACAATAAACTATGAAAAAAAACAAAAGTGTAGGATCCCAAAAGCAAGGGGAAGAGCACGCGCCCACACGTATGGAGAGCAGGGAGTGCTTGCTGTTGGAACGATAGCCTGCACCTTTGCCCGGAACACAGCTGATGCTGCGGGACTCCCTAGCCCCAAAATAAAATGAGCAAAAAAAGAAGTCTTCGGCAAGTCCAGTGTGTGACAACAACGGTGGTGCAATCGCACTTTGAACACCTTATCTTTGTTTACCCTTTTCTTTTGCCGTTATTGCTTTGCCCCTTGTTTTTTCTTTTTGTTTTGCCTTTCTTTTTTTGCTGCCTGAATTTAATGAGCTTTCGTTTTTTTTTGCTTGCTTAACTTTTTTTTTATGCATCTGGTTTTCCTGTTTTTCTTTCATTTTTTTTAATTATTATTTTCCTGTTTGTTTGCTTATGCTGTGTGGAGGTCCTGGCCAGGTGCACGTGTAAGCGTGGCGGTGTTTGCGGTCTCCAGTAACTACGCTCTACTGTATTTAGCGGCTGTTCTATGCTCTATTTCGTAAGCTCCCGTTCGTCGCGACCTTAAATATTAGCAGAGACGCCAGGAAATTTCAGCTCGAACCTAATTTAACATATCTTTGTACATTGAATTATTGATATATCAAACTATTTTACAATCCCCTATGAATTCGATATATCCAGATTCGACTGTAGCTCTATTGGTAATGTGACCGTTTGTTATCCAAGCTTGTGTATGTTTTTGGTGGTCGTCTTATCTTTCCCAGCATTGACTGGCACACCGTCGATGTATCCGCAGACTGTCGTGACGCCCTACAAACATCTGCCTTTTTTAAACGTCAAGCAGTCATTCTTCCTTACTCAAGTAGTCCTACGCCCACTCACGAAAATGCCATTTTAGACTCGCGGTTAACTACCACGCCTGAAACTTTAAAAAGTGTTACATTTTTCGACAAAAGCGGGGATCGTAAGGCCTTTCTAACTGATTTTAGAGTTTATGTAAGTAATGTACCTTTAAAGTCAAAGGAAATTCACAAATGTTCCCGAGGCAAGTTGTTAGTATTAATGGTGCCTCGGAAAATTTTCTTGTTGATTTCCACAGCTCTTTTGGGTCTCAGGCATAAAAGGAAATTGGCAAATTATTTTTAAAAAGGTTTAAAGACATCCTTGCTACCTTTATTCCAAAAATGGCAATACCTAATGCACCAGAAAAACAGTAATTTACAAAATCATTGAAAAAAAATGCTGAACACTAAAAGACAACTCCTCAAAAGAGCCACGTCTAGAAATAGCGATTCATTAGGTCCGCTTCAGACAGGGCAACTTTTCCAGCAATTTTGAGGTTGCTGGCGGGTTGTTTCCTAGCTTTCCCTAGATCGACGCAAATTGCTGAGATCGGGTCTGGCTCGAACAAGCGAGCAACTCGGAGCAATTCGAAGACGGGTGAAGCGGCTGCAGCCAATCAGAGACGCAATATTTTCAGGTGACACCCCTGTGGTGGTGGTGATGACAGCTAAAGACTTAGTTCTGGTTTGGAATGGATCGTTTTCAGAAATAAACAGTTTCCAAAAAATTAGTTAGTATTCTCAACACCGTTCAAAGATATAAGAATGCGTTTTTAGTGCGTAGCTGGGCGTCTAAATAGTGAAAGAAGAATCAAATTTAATGATGATGATGGCAAGTCGGAGCAATATGGTTGCTGCGTGTGAACGCGGGCGGCCGGTGTTGCTGGTGTTGCGACGTCAAGTTGCTGGGTGAAATTGCTCCGTCTGAAGCGGGCCTTATGGTCTCAATATGATACCCAGGCAAAGCTGTGCAAAAGGAGAACCAGGGCTGCAAATAACTTTTTTAACATTAATCATAAAAACGTAATGCAAAACAGTCGGAAAAAAAATTTGGAAACTACTAAGCCGTCCTAAAGATAGTTATGAATTGTTTCCTAGACCCACAAGGCAATGCCTTGTGGGTCTAGGAAGTTCAATGAATACTTTGGAGATGTTTTCACTGACGAGTTTTATCCATTGTCCCAAAATAATTTTGCGCACAATCATTCCTTCTGGGCAAGCATTAAAACAGAACTTGCCCCACCGGTCTTCTCCTGGTGCCGACGGCATTAGTTCCAAGCTACTGAAGGTAACACAACCATATGCCAGGCTTCTACTAGCTCCACTTTATCGGCAATCACTAGACCAAACCATTAAACTATATTACTGGAAACATGCGATTGTCTCTTCAGTTCATAAATGTGGTAGTAAATCCTTGTTTAGCAATTATGGGCCTATCTCACTTACCGGTGTCCCATGCAAACTTTTTGAGCATGTTTTATACACTCATATAATCAACTTCCTAGTAGATGATAATTAATTTTTTTATCAACCAGGATGGCTTTAGTAAAAACCTGTGTTGTAAAACCCAGCTTTTTTAATTAATTGCGGATCTTCACAAAAATATACATTCACAAGTCCAAACTGGCACCATTTTCCTCAACTCTTCTAAAGCATTCGACCGCGTACCACACCAACGTTTATTAAAAAATATTAGGTTCACTAAGCATTGATGATCCCGTGATTAACTGGATCCAAGAATTCTTTGACTAACAGAACACAAGCCGTTGTCTTTCATAGTTACATTTCAACAGGTATAAATATGAAATCAGGAGTTCCTCAGGGATCAGTTTTGTTCCCCTTGTCGTTCCTTCTATACATTAACGATATTTCCACTAATCTTTCATCAACTGTCAGTCTTTTCGCTCATGATTGTGCGATTTATCGAACAGTTCAGGACCAAACCGACTGCCTCTCACTACAGTGAAACCCGTTTAGAACGAACCCACGTACAGCGAATTATTTTAAATATCGAACTCACGAAAAATTAAAGTAAAAATGCATGTAAAAAAGTATGTTTTATAACGAACAACATATTGGCTATATCGAACTCCCCCTCCCCCCCCCCCCCCCGGAAGGCTTCTAAAAAAGCGCAAACAATCGTCTTCTAACTTGTCCCTTCCCCCCAAAAAAAAAAAGTAGGAAAGAAAGAAAATTCTAAAAGCTCAAGTTGCAAAAAAAAATTGAGCGAAGAGAGGCGATTCAGAAAGAGAGATAAGGCTAAAAAAATAAACTCTGCACGCATGCAAAAAAAAAATCTTTTCAGCGCATTGTTACAAGGCGGAAGTGAAGAGATGAGAAAGAAAGAGAAGCTCTCGCCTTACAACAAACTCATGTGGAAGTTTGTTGTAAATGTTTTTTGCTATATCGAACTACTTGCTATATCGAACTGATCGTAGCGTTTTGTGCTGTTTGTTATAAACGGGTTTGACTGTACATCATTACTTAGAACGTTTTCCTTGTGGTGTGAACTAGAGCACTGCACGGGCCCGGGCCTACCCGAAAGCCGAGCCTGGCCCGGCCTGCGGGCCAGGCCCGTGCCAGGCAGCGTACACTTCAGCCGGGCCCGGGCCGGGCCCAGGCCCGGCTGAGCACTCTGTGCTGCGAAGAGCGAAGAACAAAGAGCGCTCTGTGCTGCGAACGTGGTGTCTTTATTGCACGGCATGCCTCTTCGGAAGCATTTTAAGTCTCGCAATTTGAGAGCATCTGCGGCTGATTTTGTTGCCAATACTGTCACGAGAGAGACGGAATATGATGTCGGATCGTCGGATTTTAGTTCCAACGGTTATGATTTGTCAAATGAGTCGGGAACGTCGACAAATATGCGTCGCTATAAGGCTTGTATTGGTTTCGCATGCCTGCGCGCACTGTTTGACATGCAAGCCGCGTACCGTGTTCCCTGGTCTTTGTTGGCATGATGAATTGTGCCACACTTGTTTTGAAGGTATGTTCTGCAAACATTTTCTCCAACAGAGGCAGACGAAGCGGATGCCACCTCAACTAGCGAGGACTCGGATTATGAAGACGCCGACGACCTGCGAATCGACCCGTCTTATTCGCCCGAGCCCGCGAGTGGACTTCAAACAGCCACTGTTGGGGTGAAGAAAGGCAAGTCCTCGGAGCTCTCTTCTGGAAATTAGACAGGCAGAGCTGTATTTATTTACAGTAAAAGCTCGTTAATTTGAATCGCACAGGGATGCTAAAAATTCTTGAATTGAACAAAACTTTAACTAACAAAAAACGAAATAAAAGGCCGCTTCTGCACAGGAAACACTCGGAATGGCAGGCCTTTATTATCCAAAGTAATCAATTATCATCTGCTTTCTTTCTTAAAAAGTTATGGTCATTAGCTTATGTTCGAGGGAACGAACCAAGCCCAAGGCATCTTCGCCCTCTTCAAAGCTGAAGAAAAGGTGCATGACGTTCAGTGCATTCATGAGCTCTGGCGCAGATGGCCAAATCGGAATTTCCTCCACTTTCTCCTCCTCATCATCGACATTGTTTTCCACTTTCATGACGGGTTCGCCAACTACTTGAGCGATGATGTCTTCGTCTCACAGCGTCACAGATCACCACGCTACTGTCTGCATCGACGTAGTCGGCAAAACTCACGTCCTGCAGCAGATCACGCATGCACTCAAAAACAACCTCGCGCTCTCCGGTGTCGCCGGAAGCTGCCTCCGTACCCAAGACACTAAAACCGCAGAGACTGAAACAGTTTTTAATTGTTGCGGCGGTGACTTGATCTCATGCACGAACCAGGATGTGCATGGCACTGAGGAGTGTCACATTATAAGTCTTGTTCCCTTTGGCCTCTCAAAGAATCATTCGTTCCAGCATGTGATGTCTGTAGAAGGACTTGATGTTCTTGATCACACCCCAGTCCATGGGCTGGAGTGCTGCAGTCGTGTTTGGTGGAAGAAACACTAGTTTAATCACCTTCAGCTCCACGTCAACCTTGTGCACTGAGCAGTTGTCTACAGTGAGCAAGGCCTGTTGATTGCTCAATTCAAACTTTCTGTCCAGCTTCCAAAGCCACTTCTTAAACAACTCGCCAGTCATCCACGTCTTTGTGTTGGCTTCATAGTCTTTTGGCAGTGTGCGAATGCTCTTGATACACCGAGGCTTTATCAACTTTCCTTTACGAGCACGGCAAGCTTCTCCGTTTCACTCATGTTTACCGTGACCAAGATAGTGACACACTCTTTACTTCGCTTCCCGCCTGCGCAGTTGTCTCCTTTGTACGTGATCGTTTTGTCTGGCAAGAGCTTGAAAAATAAAGTGATCTCATCCACGTTGAAGATGTCACGGGGCGTGTAGCTCTCCAGGTAGCCCTGCAGGGATCCATTTCGCCACATTGCACTAGTTTCCATGCTCACGTCTTCACCTTCACCAGACACAGTACGGAAGACGAGGTTGTGCCTCTGACAGAAGCGATGGAACCATCCCTCAGACACGGCAAAGTCGTGGTGTTTCAAATGTAGGGCGGATTCGGCTGCCTTTGTCATAATGATGGAGCCACTGAGAGGAAGATCTTAGCTTCTTTTTTTAGCCCATGTGATGAGTGCCTTTTCCAAATCCAGGTGTTTGGCAGAGCGAAGTCTTTTTCTGTCATGGGCAAAAGCTTCAGCTTCATAGGCATCCTTGATTGTTTTCTTGTTGCGGACGTACGTTGAGAACGTGCTCCTTGGGATTTCGTGCTTCTTGGCAATCTTGTCCTTGCTCACTTTTCCTGCGTCTACTTCACGCAAAATCTCCACGTTCTCTCTGAGCATTTTGGCACAATACTTTCCTCGGGCCAGTATACCCAATGACCACATCGTAGTTTCTGAGCGCATAGCACGTAGCCCGGTCCTACGGCCAACACCACCAGCCAAGTCACAAGCACAAATGGATCGGTGATCGAGCAATGGCTCAAACACGGTGGGCCTGGCTGAACGAAGCACGGAAGCAGAACCGCAGAGCTGGTAATGCGGAGGAGAACACAGAAAGGCAGGAGGCTTCGAAAAGCGCGAAAGAAACCACTTCAGACGCCCCTATTGGTCTCTCGAATGCCTGGCAAAGTTGTTCTAAATATCTGTTTGCGCATTCCTATTGGCCCACAGTGGATATCGGCGACGCTCTCGCATTTCCTGCAATGCAACTGCCATGTTTATCAGCGCGGCTACCGCTGCGCTGCCTGTCACTTGACCGGGAAAGCTGCACACATGGCGGTGCGCGGTTTGAATTATTGGTGCTGTGAACGATTGAAGCGCGAATGAATGGGTTATTTTACGCATGTACCTCTACACAGCATGACCGGACCATGGCGACTGGTTTGAATTAATGAGTTGTGAATTAACGAGCTTTCACTGTATTTATCTATTTGTTTTACCCTCAAGGGGTGGGGGGGGGGGCATTACAGAGGGGAGTGGGAAACAAAAAAGGCTCGGGGTACACCTCAGCACTTCTTATGAGTTGTGAACACGAAAGGACGCACGCCACTCTTTGCTTCCTTTAATCTGTGGCATACAATGGCTGACCTCGGGCGTGGAACGGTGGAGCCGCTGCCTCGCGGACATGCAGCGCCATCGGGTGAGCGATCATTCAAGCTGTTGTGTGCCTTGCGGCGTGAGGAAGTAACTTACAGCAACGTAGTTCCCAGCAGAACAAACCCCTTGGTTTATCCCATGCGCCGTATATATTGCCACGCGCCGTACAACCGATAAGAGGCGAGCAAACACGGGCATGCGCACAGGTCGGTTAGTATGACAGGTCAGTGAAAACACAACAGTGTTAAACACAGTCAGGATGACACCACACAAACTGACGTGCAGCGGCCAATGGGAGCCTCGTCGACGTGCACCAGCCAATGGGATTCAAGCTGAAAATTTTGAATTCCGAGGCCATGTCCTCCCTTAACTTATTGGGATCGCGGAAACTAGGCGCTGTTTTCGCGCTTCAAACTGATGAAGTCGGTTTGCTCCATGGAATAGTTAATGCTTTCGCATTAAAAATACAAAAAAATGAAGCACCATAGGAACAACATAAATACTCAAACAAGAGGGAAATGCTAATTAGCTATAGTAGTACAGGAAAGAGTGTAGTCAACAATTGATGTTAGTGATGCAGGTAACCGATTCCAATCGTCGAAAGTTTTAGGAATGAAGGGTGCGAAAAATGAATTAGAGTGGCAAAACGGGACACCGACTTTTTGGCGATGACCATTGCATGCAGAAAGAAACGATGGTAGGATTATTAGCTGTGCATTGAGTTGAGGAATATGGTGGTAGGTCTTATGAAAAAGACAAATGCGAGAGATTCTGCGATGATGTGGGAGACTTGGAAGTAGTAAGCTATGTTTCGTTGATGTGACACTTGCAGTGCGATTACAATTGGCTGGTATAAAACGTGCGGACCTGTTCTGAACTGCCTCAAGTTAGTGAGATAATTAGTATACGGTTCCCAGATGGGGGCTGCATATTCGAGTTTAGATTGCACGAGCGTTTTATAGAAAAAAAGTTCTAATGATTGAAGGAGCTAGGTAAAAGTTACGTCTGAGATAGTCAAGCATGCGATTAGCATTGTTAGTCATGTAATTAACATGTAGCTGCCAGGAAAGATCAGCGCTTATGATCATGCCCAGATACTTGTATAAATCTTCCAAGCTGTAAGTGTGTGTGATAATGGTTATAAAGAGGAGAGCATTTAGCTTTACCTGTTATGTGCATTGTTTTGCATTTGGTAATATTAAGCTGCATTGACCAGAGGTCAATCCACTGCAGAATCGAATCTAAATCATATTGCAGTTTTTGTGAGTCGGAGTCGCTGCATATAACCTTTGTAGATAGCACAGTCATCATCAAAGATTTTGATTGAAGAAGAAACAGAAGTCTGCAAGTCAAAAAACAAAAAAAGTAAGGAGCCTAAAACGGGCCCTTGAGGCACTACACCAGAAGAGACGGATGCAAGAGTGGAGTTAGTGCCATTATATGTTACCAATTGAGAATAGCCAATGACGAGTCAGAAATTCGAAGGCAAACATACCAATAATTGTGCTGTGTGTATGTTTAGACGGCGGGAATTTCGTCTGCCCTAGTGGGCGTCCGGTGCCTTTACTGCAGATGTGGCATTTGGCCAATGCGGTACCACTGATTGGAATTTTTATTGTGCATGACACAGTAGCGATGCACGACCGCACGCTTGTACGGACTCAAATTGCTTTGCCAGCCAATCGTTTCCACTTGTGTTTTGACAAACAAATCTTTCTTATTTTTTCGATACCAAATCCTGAAAATGAATTCAATATAAACCGAAAGCACAGAACATTAATTACAACTGGTCCATAGACTTTCCAGTTTTAACCAAAGAACATAAATGAAGTTCCGTCTGTCAAAAAAATTGTGGTGGCTTAACTCGGCTATGCCAGGATATATGTAGCGCGAGCTTATGCGCACAAAATGAGAGGCGCTATCAAACGGCTTCGGTGCAGCGTCAGACTTGGCTACTGTGCAACAGAGGCGCACAGCTGGGGGATGCGGCGGCGCCAGTGCGTCTGCCGCGGCTATGACGTCACTCCTTTGGAATGCGCTAACCGGCGAGGCGCGCACGGTGGCGGCTTTGGCGCGCCAGCTGTGCGCCGTGTGACATCACTGCTCCTCGCGCTTGAGCAGCACGGCTCTTTGGGAGCCACGCGAAACTTCTCAACCTCGGCCAATGTAGCTCACGCTACCAAATAAAAGCTCAGTTGAAACCGTGAAACACTCATAAATATCCTTAGGTATTAAAAGTACTACAAGATCAAATAAAAATAAAAACAGTTCTGAAAAATTTGCTCCGATTGTAGATTATTTTTGTCAAAACCTTCTTTAGTGGACGCTTGTCAGACTGATACTCTTACCTGGAATCAAGCACCCTGCCCATCTCAAATCTGCAATCACCGACCTTAAAGGGGCACTAAAGTGCTTTTTAAGATCTTCGCTTTATGGTCATACCTCAACCTACGAGGTAAGCATCCCAAAAATCCTGAAATTACATTAATGCGCGGCCGATTTGCGTATATAAAAAGTGATCACAGATCTCGACACTTGCCGTTGACTCAGAACGACAGATGGCGCCACCGAACCTTGCTTAATATGGTTGAACCACGGACTGCACTTGTCAGCAACTTGCAAACGATGGGTTCCCGCATGATCGAGTGGTCTACCAGTCTTTGCTCGTCCACTGTTCACGAGTCGCTAACAAGCGCCGTCCGTCGTTCGACCATATTCAGCAAGGTTCAGTGGCACGATCTGTCATTCTGCACCAACGGCAAGTGTCAAGATCTGTGATCACTTTTTAATAAGCAAATCGGACACACATGAATGTAATTTTAGTTTTTTTAGCATGCTTAGGGCCCATAGATTGAGTTATGACAATAAAACGAGGATCTCGGAAAGCACTTTAGTGCTCCTTTAAAGGAAGGTGGCATGGGAGTTAGGTCAGTTAGTCAGTCACCACAAACTTTCACAATGTCTTCGCTCCATTCAGGTCAGAGATGGACAACGGTTTTGAAGAATACACTGGTGCAGTGGCGTAGCCAGGAATATTTTTTGGAGGGGCGGCTGAGGTGGCTGGAGTGTCCATGACTTGGAGAGCGGAAAAGAGGGAGGGGGGGGGCTGAAGCTCCCCCCCTGGCTACGCCCCTGCACTGGTGGTTGTTTTCAGCTGAATCTTCCAGAATGAACATTAGCGACTATCGTCTTCTCAAAACACCTCGTCACGATTACAAGCTGGTGCGGTTGCCACGAGGGCGAGAATATGTAAACAAAGTAACTTGAATCACAAACCCCAAACTGTGTTTGAAGGCACCTTGCATCGTTCTCCAAGTGGGACTTTGGCAAGAAATGGGCCTTTTCTGTTCAAGGCTCACTTTCTCAGTATCGCCTGAATCTTTTCTGAAGTTTCTTTATTTCTTCCTTCTTTGAGTAAGCTGTCACAATAGGTTCATTCCATGCCAAAGGAGACACGGCAATTTGTCCATGTCTGGGATATGTACGAAAAAATAATTTAGATAAAGAAGCCTTTGAACAGCAATAAAAAATTTTTACGTGAAAGAAATTAATTTTATTTTTGCTGATAACATGTTTCCAATTTTTGGAATTTGCATAAAACATATGTAGTTAAGAAAAACATTGTATAAAAGCGATTGTTTATCACAAATTTAGGTAGGCGACTAATTACTTAAAGGGCCACTCCGCTTCATTTTAGGTTTGGAAAAAACAATGCAGTCCTCTTCAGTACCGCCTAGGAAGACCACACGTCAAGTATTACGACTTAGTTCTGTCTAAATGTTTCTTAAACGGTCCGGCAAACTTTGCAACTCACCAAGTTGCCGAAATCGGCTGACTCAAGCGGGCGAATTCAGGCGCAACCAACACCGCAGCCAAGGCTACGGCATCAGCGTAGCCAATATTAAGCTAAACGTCATCACCATTGCACCTTTTTGCTTGTTTTTACTTCTCCGGGTGAACGTAGCGCATGACGTCAGCAATGTTACCTCTCGGCGCTCAGCGGTGTCCACGTGGTTGGCTAACGCGCATGCACAGCGCGCTTCTTGGGAGCCGTCCGGCCGCCCGCCGTGGTCCCGCCATTACCGCTGTTTTCGCGCGTCACAACCGTCGTCGTCGTCTCACCGTTTGTGATTATTGTCTCGGAGTTTCGTCCACACTACGGGCACCACGTGGGCTGAATTATGCCGCAGTTGTGCAGACGTCGTGGAACGTCGTAGACACCAAAACGTGGTGAAGAGTGTGCTGCAGACAACACTTGCGCCTGGCACACGCCCGCTCCAATCCCGCCCGTCATTGGGCCGACGATCACGTGACATCCATACCTCGGCAAACCTCACTCATGAGGGCCCTCACTCACCCTCATCTTCACAGGTGAGGTGAGGGTGAGTGAGGGCCGTGAGGACGGTGAGGGGTATGAGTGCATGAGGGGCGTGAGGGCACTGAGTGGCGTGAGGGCCATGAGTGCATGAGGGGTGTGAGGGCCGTGAGGGGTATGAGCGCCATGAGTGCGTGAGGGCGGTGAGTGGCGTGAGGGCCTTGAGTGCGTGAGGGGTGTGAGGGCCAAGAGTGCGGGAGGGCAGTGAGTGTCATGAGAGGCGTGAAGGCGGTGAGTGCATGAGGGGTGTGAGGGCCATGAGGGCGTGAGGGCGGTGAGTGCGTGAGGCCCCCTTCAGACGGAGCATCTTTCTCAGCAATTTTGGTGTTGATTGCGGGTTGTTCTCTAGCTTTCCCTAGATCGACACGAATTGCTGAGATGGGGTCCGGTTCGAAATAGTCAAGCAGCTCGGAGCAATTCGAAGACGTTTGAAGCGGCTGCATCCAATCAGGGACGCAAAATGTTCACGTGATACCTCGTGCTGGAGATGATGACACCGAACGACTTGGTTCTGGTTTGAAATCGATCGTTTTTGGAAATAAACTGTTTCAGAAAGGTACATTAGTATTCTCAACGAGATTTAGATGCATAAAAACACATCTATAATGCGTAATTGTGTCTAAATAGTGCAAGAAAAATAAAATTTCATGATGATGTTGGCAAATTGCAGCAATTGGTTGCTGCGTGTGATCGCGGGCGGCCCGTGTTGTTGGTTTTGCGACGTCAAGTTTCTGGGCGAAATTGCCCCATCTGAAGCTGGCCTGAGTGGCGCGAGGGCCATAAGTGCGTGAGGGGCGTGAGGGCGGTGAGTGCGTGAGTGGTGTGAGGGCAGTGAGGGCCATGAGTGCGTGAGGGCGTTGAGTGCGTGAGGGGCGCGAGGGCGGCGAGTGGCGTGAGGGCTATGAGTGCGTAAGGGCCGTGAAGGCGGTGAGTGGCGTGAGGGCTATGAGTGCGTGAGGGTCGTGATGGCTATGAGTGCGTGAGGGTCGTGATGGCGGTGAGGGGCGTGAGGGTAATGAGTGAGTGAGGGCGGTGAGTGGCGTGAGGGCCGTGAGTGCGTGAGGGGCGCGAGTGCGTGAGGGGTGCGTGAGGGCCATGAGTGTGTGAGGGCCGTGAGGTTCAGTGAGGGTGAGTGAAGGGCTGAAGGTGAGTGTGACTGTGAGGATGAGGGTGAGTGAGGGGCTGAAGGTGAGTGTAGCTGTGAGGGTGAGGGTGAGTGAGGGGCTTAAGTGAGTGTGGCTGTGAGGGTGAGGGTGAGTGAGGGCGACCTAAAATGCCGACCTCTGGTGACATCTCCTACCACGTGATGGCCATGTTAGCGACGACGTATTGTCTTTTACTAGGGCTTTTTAATGCAAAATCACTCATTATCCTGAAATCTTCGGAATGAAGCGGAGTTGCCCTTTAAGAGAAAGAAATATTTAACTCCGGCTTTTTTTTGTTGACCTGGTGCATTTCCCACACTGTTCTGTTCATGAAGCTTCTTCTTTCTTTGGGGCCACACTCCTTATCTTTTGTTTACTTTTCTTATCGGTACCGATTATGACCTTCAAGTAGTATTTGGGTCACGTAATGTTTTCTCGAGGTTGGGGAATGCTGTTCCCGCGTCCTCTCTTCATCGACAAAAGCCTCGATAAACACCGATTATTTGCTAACATACAAAATATTGGCTCTCAAAATCGCCGAATGCCTAGAATAGAAAAAATAAAGCATGTAGAAACATCCCCGATTTTGGAGAAATTAATCCCCAAAAACATGGAACCCTACTTATAAGGGACCGTAGATAGCGCATAGATTTGACCTTGCAACTACTGCGAAGCCCTGTGATTAAGTACCGTGCCCGTCAAAGTCTACTGCACATGGTCAATGATTGGCGAGCCCCGTTGCAAAGCCTACGACGTGTTCCTGGACAAGATATGGCATCTGGTGGTTAGAATAGACACACTAGTTTCAGTTTCCGTGTAGATCTCTTTTTTCCACGTGACAACAATCTCTCGTAAACCAACATGCAGCCGACGAAGAACGCTTTGTGCTGCAAATGGTGGCATCTTTATTGCATGGCATGCCTCTTCGAAAGCATTTTAAGCCTCGCAATTTGAGGGCATCTGCGGCTGATGGAATATGAAGTCGGATCATCGGATTTCAGTTCCGACGGCTATGATTTATCAAATGAGTCAGGAACATTGGCAAATATGCTTTGCTATAAGGCTTGTATTGATTTCGCATGCCTGCGCGCACTGTGTAGCATGCAAGCCGCGTACCGTGTTCCCTGGTCGTTGTCGGCATGATGAATTGTGCCACACTTGTTTTGAAGGTATGTTCTCCAAACATTTTCTCCAACAGAGGCGGACGAAACGGATGCCACTTCAACTAGCGAGAGCTCGGATTGTGAAGACGCCGACGACCCATCTTCTTCGCCCGAGCCTGCGAGTGGAGTTCAGAGAGCCACTGTTGGGGTGGAGAAAGGCAAGTCCTCGGAGCCCTTTTTCAGAAATTACAGGCAGAGCTGTTTTTATTTACAGTAAAAGCTCGTTAATTTGAATTGCATGGGGATGCTAAAAAAACATGAATTAAACAAAATTTGAACTAAAGAAGAACTAAAAAAAAAAGGCCGCTGAACCGAAAATTGGTTTTCAGAAAATAAGGTAGCAGGAGTGTTCAACGGGGTGCCACAAACCCCGAAGCACCACTCATGAAGCAATATCTCGAACGGATTGCCATATTTTTGTAAAATAAATATGCGATTGAGCGAAAATCGCGCCGTCGTGTTTCTTGCAGAATAGTTGAGAAGGAGGGGAAATGGCCTTGCTTCCCTCCTTCTTTGCGTCCTCGCGGAGTCAAAGCCAGAAGAGGAGGAAACAAGAATCGCGACGTCGCAGGCTTTCTTGGCCTTGTTCAAGCACATTCTTCTTTCACAAAAATTTGACCACCTGTTTTAGATATTGCTTTGTGAGTGATGCTTTCGGGTTTGTAGCGCCCTGCCTAGTGCTTCCACGTTGTCTTCTGAAACCTAAATTTTGGTTCAACATCCCTTTCACATTGTGTGCTGAGCAGTTGTCTAAGATGGGCAGGACCTGTCCGTTGCTCAATTCGAACTTTCTGTCCAGCTTCCCAAGCCACTTCTTAAACAACTTGCCAGTCATCCACGCCTTTCTGTTGGCTTCGTAGTTTGTTGGCAGTATGCGAATGTTCTTGAAACATCGAGGCTTCATTGACTTTCCTATCACGAGCAGGGGAAGCTTCTCCATTTCAGTCATGTTTGCCGCAACAAAGACAGTGACACGCTCTTTACTTCACTTCCCGCCTGCGCAGTTGTCTCCTTTGTACATGATCGTTTTGTCCGCAAGAGCTTGAAAAATGGAGCGGTCTCATTCGCGTTGAAGATTTCACGTGGCGTGTAGCTCTCCAGGTAGCCCTAAAGGGATCCTTTTGGCCACATCGTGCAAGTTTCTATGCTCACGTCTTTACCTTCACCAGACACGGTACAGAAGACGAGGTTGTGCCTCTGACGGAAGCGATGGAACCATCCCTCAGACACGGCAAAGTCGTGGTGTTTCAAATGTAGGGCGGACTCGGCTGCCTTTGCCATGATGATGGAGCCGCTGAGAGGAAGATAGATCTTGACTTTTCATTTCTTTAACCCACGTGATGAGCGCCTTTTCCAAATCCGGGTGTTTGGCAGAGCGAAGTCTTTTTCTGTCATGGGCAAAAGCTTCGGCTTCGTAGGCATCCTCGATTGTTTTCTTGTTGCGGACATACATTGACAACGTTCTCCTTGGGATCTCGTGCTTCTTGGCAATCTTGTCCTTGCTCACTTTTCCTGAGTCTACTTCACGCAAAATCTCCACTTTCTCTCTGAGCATTTTGGCACAATACTTTCCTTGGGCCAGTATACCTGATGACCACATCGTGGTCTCTAAGCGCATAGCACGTAGCCCGGTCCTACGGCCAACACCACCAGCCAAGTCACAAGCACAAATGGATAGGCGATTGAGCAACGGCTCAAACACGGTGGGCCTGGCTGATCGAAGCACGGAAGCAGAACCATAGAGCTGGTAATGCGGAGGAGAACACAGAAAGGCAGGAGGCTTCAAAAGGCGCGAAAGAAACCACTTCGCACGCCCCTATTGGTATCTTGAACGTCTGCCGACGTTGTTCCAAATATCCGTGTGCGCATTGGCCCGCAGTGGATATTGGCGACGCTCTCGCGTCTACTTCAACGCGCCTGCAGCGTTTAGCAATGCGCGGCAATGCGGCTCTCACCACGCCGCCTGTCACATGACCAGGAAAGCTCCACGCATGGCGACGTGCGGTTTGAATTATCGGTGCCGGAAAACGATTCAAGCACGAATTATCGGGTGGTTTTACACATGTACCTCTACGCAGTGTGACCGGACTATGCCCAAGCAGCACAGAGTTGGCCAGTCATCGACCAATGGCTGGCAATGGTCCTTGGCCAAGTGGCCAGGCAGTGGCCAGAGACTGGCCGGTGACTGGCCTTTATCTGGCCACTGGCCAATGGTTACTGGCCATCAGCCATCGGCCAAGCATTGGCCAGTGAATGGCCACTCTCTGGCTGCTGGCCAAAAGACCATTGCCAGACACTGGCCATTGCTTGGCCAAAATCCGTGCTGCTTGGGTGGGGACTGCTTCGAATTATCCAAAAGTTTGGATTAATGAGTTGTGAATTAACGAGCTTTAACTGTATTTATTTATTTTAAGGTGGGGGCATTACAGAGAGGAGTGGGAAATAAAAAATACAAAAAATGAAGCACAGTAGTAACAACATAAATACTCAAACAGTAGGGAAATGGTAGTCAGCTATACTACTACAAAAAAGAATGTGGTCAACAATTTATGTTTTAGTGATGCAGGTAAACGATTCCAATCGTTGAAAGTTTTAGGAATGAAGGGTGCGAAAAATGAATTAGAGTGGCAAAACGGGACACCGACTTTTTGGCGATGACCATTGCATGCGGAAAGAAACGATGGTAGGATTATTAGCTGTGCGTTGAGTTGAGGAATATGGTGGTAGGTCTTATGAAAAAGACAAATGCGAGAGATTCTGTGACGATGTGCGAGACTTAAAAGTAGTAAGCTATTTTTCATTGATGTGACACTTGCAGTGAGATTATAATTGGCTGGTATAAAACGTGCGGATCTGTTCTGAACTGCCTCAAGTTAGTGAGATAATTAGTATAGGGTTCCCAGATGGAGGCTGCATATTCGAGTTTAGATTGCACGAGCGTTTTATAGAAAAAAAAAGCTTTAATGATGGAAGGAGCTGGGTAAAAGTTACGTTTGAGACAGCCAAGCATTCGATTAGCATTGTTAGTCATGTAATTAACATGTAGCTGCCAGGAAAGATCAGCGCTTATGATCATGCCCAGATACTTGTATAAATCTTCAAGCTGTAAGTGTGTGTGATAATGGTTATAAAGAGGAGAGCATTTAGCTTTACATGTTATGTGCATTGTTTTGCATTTGGTAATATTAAGCTGCATTGACCAGAGGTCAATCCACTGCAGAATCGAACCTAAATCATATTGCAGTTTTTGTGAGTCGGAGTCGCTGCATATAACCTTTGTAAATAGCACAGTCATCATCAAAGATTTTGATTGAAGAGGAAACAGAAGTCTGCAAGTCAAAAAACAAAAAAAGTAAGGAGCCTAAAACGGACCCTTGAGGCACTACACCAGAAGAGACGGATGCGAGAGAGGAGTTAGTGCCATTATATGTTACAAATTGAGAATAGCCAATGACGAGTCAGAAATTCGAAGGCAAACATGCCAATAATTGTGCTGTGTGTATGTTTAGAAGGCGGGAATTTAGTATGCCCTAGTGGGCGTCTGGTGTCTTTGCTGCAGATGTCGCGTTTGGCCAGTGCAGTACCCCTGACTGGAATCTTTAACGTGCACCACACAGTAGTGATGCACGACCGCACGCTTGTACGATGTTCATCCAGATCGAAGCGGGTAGGAGCAGAGGTTAAACCCAGGGTCCCCGAGTTCTGCAGCGCTATAGGTTTTGTTCCATGTGCTCCGAGGTGGAGTGCGCACACCCGGACACCGTTCCTTTGACCCCCAAAAGGGATTCAAATTGCTTAGCCAGCCAATCGTTTTGACGTCGCTGACATCACTGCCTTACAAACAAATCTTCCCTATTTTTTCGATATACCGTATTTTCTTGCATAATGAACGCACCCCCAAGTCGGTTATCAAAATTTCTATTTTTTTTCTCCCGCATATTGAAGCACCCCCAACTCGGTCGTCAAAATTTTGACCTTCCCCCCCATCCTCCCCCCACCCCGTGCACGAAATGAACGCACTTCCCTATCCTGGTGCAGCGAGGTCACGAATGCATGAGCAGCATGGGCGAACAAGCACCTTGCGGAAGGCGGTAAAAAAGAGATGGATCCCACAAAAACAATACAAAGACAAAACTTGGAGAAAAACATTTGTTCCGCACAGTGCAGTCTGGTTGTGGGGTTGCGCGAAGAGATAAGAAAGAGAAGCGGAAAAGCCCTCGCCTAAGCAAAGTGCATAATGAAGGCACCCTGCCCTTGCCTCCTCCTCCCACCTTGGAGGGCTGTGTTGCAGACAAAGGGAAGAGAAGAGTAGAACGAAACCAATCGCAGAGCGCGTGACGGCTGCGGGAAAAAGCGAAAGAAAGTTTTGCGGGAGTTTTTCTTTTCCACCATTTTGCGACTGCACTGGCGACATCATCTTCGTGTTGATTGACGACGCAGGGATGGCCCGTTACGCCAGCTACACAAGTGGATTCAAGCTGCAAGTTGTTGAGCACGCCATTGAACATGGCAACCGTGCGGCCGCAAGACATTTTGGCGTCGACGAAGTGCGCGTCCGGTATTGGAAACAGCAGCGTGAAAAGTTGCAAGCCGCAGAAAAGACACGTCGGGCTTTCCGAGGACCCAAGCAGGGAAAGTTTCCTCGTGTTGAGGAGGAAGTGCTCGAATACGTGACGAACCTTCGGAACAAGGGTCGTGCTGTGTCACATGAACTGATTCAGAACTGCGCACGAACAATTGCAAAAGGACATGGCATCTCAGTGCGGGATTTTAGGGCCAGTAATGGCTGGATAACACGCTTTATGCGACGGAATGGACTGTGTCTCAGAAGACGTACGTAATTGTGCCAAGGGCTCCCTTCAAGCTACGAGGACAAGATTGTTGATTTTCACCATTACCTTATAAGGATGTGCCAAGAAAAGAAACAACTTCATCCCGTCCCATACTGGAAATGCCGATCAGACCCCCTGAACTTCGACATGCCAGGAACTATGACAGCGGAGCAGACGGGTGCTTGGAGCGTCCGCATCAGGACAACAGGAACTGAAAAGCAAAGGTGCACCGTGATGCTGGCAGTGATCGCAGGTGGCCGTAAGCTGCCACCATACGTGATCTTCAAAAAAACGACACTTCCCAAGGGCAAGTTTCCACATGCCAT